GCTGCGCCGCCGCCGGTCGCTTTCCGGCCGGCTCCCGCCCACCCCAGCTCCGGGCCGGCGCGGCCTCTGCCGAGCGGCGCTGTCCACGCCGAGCAGCGAGCGTGCGGGTCGGGCGAGCGCAAGCCTTGGGCGCTGTTGGCCGTTTAAGCTGAGGGTGGTTGCGGATCCGGAGTCCGCAGGCTTACGGTTTCTGAGCGCCGGGAGGACCGTTCGCCGCCGAGACGAGGCTCAGCTCGCCGCGGCCCGGCTGGAAGACGTCCCCTTCATTCCCGGTTGCAGCCGTCGGAGCAGGCACACAGTCAGGGATCATAACCGCCCGGTCAGTGCCAGAACGCAGGCGTCCCGGGGAAGCGAGAGCGGGAGAGAAGCGCTTTCTTTCCATCTGTGACACATCCGAAGAATTCGGTAAAGAGGATGAAGTACACGGATGTTACATGGAACTTAAATACTTGTAAATACTGCAGCAGAAACTGTGAACTCTCAGTCTCAGGCCGGGCGTAGCCGTGCTGGCCATCTCGGGGCTCTGGATGTCAGGGCAAGAGGATCCTTGACCTAGGAATGCAAGATCAGCCTGGGCAGCATCTCCTCCCTAGTAAACAATAAACCAACAAAAGCCGGATCACTGTATACGTTCATCGGCTAACTATGAAATAGTCCTGTAAAGGGACATGCATATAAATTAAAACTAAATGCCTAAATTAGAATATTTAGTCATATTATTCAGGTTTTTAAAGTTCACTAAAAGATAAGCAACAAAAGGGTATATTTCATAAACCATCGCCCAGCATCTAAGAAATAACCAACCAGGGCAGGAAATAGCCCTTCAGCATTTACACAGAAATATAAACTCACTTGATCCTCTTTGTTCTTAATAAGCCTGAGAGACCATAAATATGTACACAGAAACCAGTAGGCTCAGAAGGGGAGAGAAATCCAGCAGACCACAGGGAGAAGGAATAAAGGTGGGAACCAGAGAAAGTAGAAGCCAAGGACCGGTGACACGTGTGCCCCCTGCAGCCTGAGAGAAGGGCACATCCCCAAATAGACCTGCCAAATGGCACTGAAGGCATTTATTCTTGAGTCATTATCTATGACTTTATTTCAACTTAACCTTCTTGGAGGTTTTGAAGTGATAGCAAGATCTAAGCCATAACCTTCCAACCCTTTCAAAGGACTTATGTGTCTCTTCATGCAAAATGCACTTAGTCCATCTCTTAATTAAGAGTTGGCAAATGCCTAACCATTCCAGTACTGTCCAAGTCCAGAGTCTGTAAGATTGAAGGCAAACTGTTTAATGTGAGCCCCTGTACAAATAAAAGGGAAAAATTGAACTTATGCAAAGGCGCAGGGTAAGCATTCTCTTTCTGAAAAGCAGAAATAGAAGGATAGAAATGAAAGAGACCAAAGCTAAAATCAAACCCAGCAAGGCAAACATTAGCTCCTGTAGTTTCATGTCCAGTGGTGGCCCGATGTGATCTCCAAGGGCTTGGGCAGCCCCCCTGCTATGGCACTGCTGGCAGTTGTAGCCCACATGGCTTTTCTCTTGGACCAGCTGTGCTCGCTCCTTGCAGCTTTCCTCAGACGATCCACGTTCCTGGCTTTCCAGCCATCCTGGGGCTTAGCTGCACCTTTGGCTTCACACAGCCTCACACACTCTGGCCTTCTCGGAGCCACCCTGCCTGGCCCCTGAAATCTGAGTGGAAGCCTTCTTGGCCACAAAACTGTTTCATCCTGCGTGCATCCAAGGCCAGTGACACATGGGCGATGCCAAGGTCTGCCACCAGCTGGAGCACCAGCCTGGCCCTTTGGCACCTTGCTGGTTGCAGAGGCCTCTGGGCCTGGATGGCCCAGCAGGGCTCCTTTTCCAACTGAGTGTCCTGGGGCCCTCTTCTCAAAGCAAAGTCCTTTACTTTTGCAGTTTTGAACTTGCAAAGGATCGGGCCTGGCTGGTTCCTCATGTGCCCTCAACACATCCTTCCTGCTGTCCTGCTGTAAAGGCTTCCTTGTTGTGCTAATATTTTACTCCATCTCTGAAAACTCCAACTTTACCAGAGTACTCATTCTGGCCAAATTCAAAACTTTTTACACCTTTCAGCTGTTTTCTTTACTCCTCTCACTGTAGACCTGGCTAAAGGCTGCCAGTAGCAGAGGGCAGCCACCCACACTGTGCCCTGCAAATTGTATACAGGGGTGCAGCCAGTGCCCACCCAGAGTGCACCGGTCACTGGGTACTTGGTGCATGGGAGAGAGAAAAAGCACATCTTGTTCTATGAAAGAAAAGCCACACCCTTCCCCACCCATAGCATTTTGGTTTTTTTTCCTGAGTTTTCTTTAAAATCTTAATGTCTTTGGTTTCCATAAGTTCAAATGTCAGGATCCAGTGCTGGGTTTCACGAAGTTCTGGTTGTGTGACCCTGGGAAAAATGAATGCAACTCTTTCCTGCCTTGATTTTCTTTTCTATAGAGTGGATACAGCAATAGTACCTACATAACACTGCATGCGCTTGCTACCGTAGGGACTGCTACGTTGACATATCAGCCTCGCACAGTAGTAATGGTAAATTTGCATTATTGCCAATAATTTCTTAGTTCTCTCACCACTTCTCCACCAGTTCCTTTAGTAATTGTCATCACCAGGCTCCTTTGGCTTTGGCTTTGTACACACGGGAGCTCATCAGTGATGGCAAAACAAGGTAAAAGAGAACTCAGTGGTCCTGCTCCAGAACAGCAAGGCAGGTTCCCCTACTAGCAAACAGGAAGGCTTCCGCAGAGCTCTCCTCTGCCCTCTGTGCCCCCCAGTGCCAGTGTTTATTGCTGTGACCACTCCTGCCTCCCCAGCCTATTTCCCAAAGCTATTTTTCGTTATTGTTCTGAACAAAGAATTGGACCATGGCCGGCCAGATAGTTCACATGAAGGGACTGGGGTTTGCTCCCCAGCATGCCATGCTGGCCCTGCTCCTGGGGCACGGTGAGATGGTGATGGAGACTGGATGTGGTGGCACCTGCCTGTAATCTCAGCGTTTGGGAGTCTGAAAAATAGGAAGGATTATTACAAGCCTGATCTGGTAGAGGAGTCTCTGCAGCTCCATACCTCACAGAGGACAGTGGTGGTGACAGGAAGCCGGGAGGGGGAAGGCTAAGGGTTTCCCGAGTGAACAAAGGATAGCATTGGGGAGGTAGGAGGTGACAGCTCTCCCTGGGGATGTGCATGGTGAGAACTGCGGGGCATCAAGGCCTGGGCTCCTGGCGCTCTGGCCTGAATCAACCCCCAGGAAAGCACAGGGTTCCAGTGAGCCTTCTCATCTTTCCCGCTTGTGCAGGGGTCTGGGAGCTGGCTGCATCTTTTCTGACACAGCAGACAGGAAAGGGCAGGCCGGGGGCTGGAAGCGAAGCAGAGAGAGGCCAGGTCAGGCTCGCTGTGCTAGGAAACAGAGACACAGTATACTCATTGGAATCTGAATTTTTACTTAACAAGCTGTATTTTCCATAAGTCTATCTGACGTTTTTATAGCATAATGTGTGTCTGTGAGAGATTTTAATCAGATGTTATCATTGGTTGTATTTATCAAATACATTCTAGATGGACAAGGTTTGTCCGAGAAGAAATTACAAAAACAGATGTGGAGGGATGGTTTTATTAAAGACTAGCAAAGGTCTTAATTTACTGAAGTATTAATATCAAGAACGTAGTCCTAAGTGAATATTTTGTGGACAAATAATGAGAGCAAAGAGACAGCCGAATGTGCTGGTGCAGGCCTGTAATCTCAGCTACTTGGGAAGCAGAGGCAGGAAGACTACAAATTGAGGCCAGCCGGGGCAGTTAGCCAAGCTCTTTCTTAAAGTAGAATAAAGGGGCTTACAAACATCAATATGTACTTCTCAAGAAGCAGAAAATCCCAAGAATAAGTAGTAATTCCTTACATAGTTGGCAAAGGAGCTTGAGTGTGCCACGTGCTTTGTCCTGGACTGCACCTCTCAGATTCTGAGGTGGTTTCTCATCTCTTGCTGCAATTCAGGACAAGGGGCTGGGGCTGGTGAAGAAGATGAGAATTAATCACAAAGAGCAAGAAATGCCCACTCCTGGTTCTCTGCATCTCAATAGGAAAACCACAGCGCCTTCATGGCTTTGTCTTCAACTACCAGGGTGCGCGTGGCTTTCAGGGTTTGCTGTGAGAGGCCAACATGCAAATCCGTAAACACAGTTTATGGCCCTGAAATTGAAACAATCACGGCATTTCTTGTCTTTTGGATTTTTTTTTTTTTGCTTGTTTTTGTTTCCGTTTTTTGAGACAGGGTCTTGCTATGTAGTTCAGCCTGGCCTTGAACTCACCATGTAGCCCAGGCTGACCTTGAATTCAAGGTGATCCTCCTGTCTCAGCCTCCCAGGTACTGGGATTACAGGTGTCTATCACCATGCCCCAACAGGAGATTCATTTTAAAGACTTGAATGAACTGCTGAGACTCCTGATTAGTGCTAGCCAATAGGACACTTTTCTCAATATGGTATAAGAATGATTCCTAAGCGGGTCATGTTGTCTTCAGTTATTTTTCTATATCTGCAAGCCAAATTAGAGGCTTAGGTATAGAACTCAAAGCAGGAGTAGGGTCCACACACTTGTAATCCCAACACTGAGAGAGGCTGAAGCAGGTGGAAATCACAAATC